CCCGTGTGGCCCCTACCCACTCTGCATGGCCCCTGGCCAGGCCCTAGTCACACCCCCACAGTCCCCTGACCCTGACAGATTGAAGGAGGCCCTTGCATGGAGGGAGAGAGAGGCTGACAGCCAGGACGGTGGGCCACAGTGAGGAAGCCCCAGAAGGTCTGCCCCAGCTGGTGGAGAAAGGCCGACACAGAGCTCAGTGGCAGGTTCTGTCACCCCCGCCCCTGCCCCCCCCCCCCCACTCTCCCCTGGTGCTCTTGTCTTGGTGCTGGGGTCTGCAGCCAGGGTCCTGGGCTCTGGGCAGCCTGAGGCTGGGTCTCACGATGGAGGTAGGGGCCCGAGAACATTTATCCCACCCGCAATCCCCCCAGGGGTGCGATCTGGGAGCCTGAACTGAGCAGGATGTGGGAGACAGGCTCCAAGCCCATAAGCGCCCAGAGCTGCCTAAAGACCTCCCTGGTAACTCCATTTCCCTGAGGCTGTGGCCTCTGGAGATATCAGGCGATCTTCTGCCGGTGCCAGGTCGGGGTGGCAGTGAGAACCCGGGAGGCCGGGCAGTGGCATGAAACGGCTGCTATAAATCTCCAACTCTGGGTCCCTCTGCCCTCTCTCCTTGATCTGCCTTCCTGAGGGAGTGGGAGGTGCTGAGAGAAGGGCCCCTGAGGAGGCTAATCCCTCTGGTCGCAGCCCCACGGTCCTGCTGGTCTGGCCCTAGATCTGGGCCTTGGCCTCCACCAGCTGTTACCAAATTTTCTTTGTTTGGAGTCTGAGCCAGAGCCTCTGGGGCAGGAGGGAGCCAGGACATGCTGAGCCTTAATCCAGACATGTGGTTTAATCCAGAAAAGATCAACTCGAGGTTTGGGAGCTGGAGGCATCGCTCAGGAGACGGGCAGCATCTCAGACCCAGCCTGCATAGGCCAGTGGGAGGGCTGGGCCAGCCTTCACAGGGGCCCGGGCTTGGCAAACATGGGGCTTGTCCCAGGACCCTGTGCCTATGGAGCAGGAGCCTGAGGGTCAGCGGGCCCCAGGTTTGGTCCTCGCTCTGCCATGACTATGGGCACGTCCCTGCCACTCTGTGAGCCTCATTTTCCCCAGTGCACATGTGTCTTCGTGGGCGAACAATCACCTGTGGATGTAATCATGGTTGAACTGCACGGCACAGGTGGGAAGAGCTGGGAAGTCAGCTGTTGAGGAGGGCTTCCGGGGAGAGGAGGGGGCTTTGGGCTGAACTGTGATGAGAGGGAAGTGGCATCTTGGGCAGGGGGATGGCAACACAAAATAGCCATGTTGTGCCCACAGCACTGGGGCCAGGGGAGAAATGCCATTGTCATTAGAGCCCGGATACAGTCACCATGTCGATCGATCCTTGGTTTTGGCCCAGACCCTGCCACTGACCAGCAAATGAATCCCTTCCCCATATGTGATCTACAAAACTTTCGTATAACATATAGTCCCTTCCAACTCTGATAATCTGGGCTGGGTAGGAGGTGAGCTGAGACATGGGCACCAGCCACTGGGATTGCATGAGGGTGGCACTGGGGAGCCATGGGAGGTTCTTGAGCACAGGGGTGCCTGATGAAGGAGCATCGAAGGGAGATGAGCTTGACAGTGGCGTGGAGTGAGCAGTCAGGAGGTGGGAATGGACTTTGGAGGATCAAGTTGCCCAATCAGGAGGTGGGCAGGACCCTGGGAAAACGGACTGGCCAGCCTCAGAGGGAATGTGGCACAACGAGCACAGCCTTTGCGTGTCCAGCTGGGGACTTCTGACAAGCTGTATTAAGACCTCTGCGCCCCCCTGTCCGCATCTATAAAATAGGGCTCCCGAGCCCACGTCCCCTGGGGCTGTGGGTGGTAAAGGAGTGACAGGCGTGAATGCTCTGGGCCTGGGGAAGTGCTCACTGAGCAGTTCTCTCTTCCAGCCAGAGTCTGGCCCCAGAGCCAGACGCCAGAGTTGCAGGCTGGACACTAAAACCCCCGGCTCCCTGACCAGTAAACCAAGGTCCCCCCGGATCTGGGCTGCGGGGGTCAGAGCATTCCCCACCACCTCCCCACCTGTGGACAGTCAGATCTTTCCTCCCACCGCACGATTATTATTTTTCACTGGGGAGGTGTTGGGAGCTGGGACCGAGCCTTGGTTGAGAGCAGGTTCCCTGGCATTTAGGAGCAAGGTGAGGGGGAGCTGAAATGCAGGGTGGGGCGGAGGCGGGAACTCGCCTGGACCAGGAGTCAGAAGACCTGGATCCAAGTCACTTACCTCTGCGCCTTCACTTGCCCATCCACAAAATGGGAATGAGCATAAGGCCCGGTTGCTGCTCTCTGAGGAAGGACAGATGCAAGTCAAGGATGTGTCACCACATCCCGGCCCAGCAAATGCTGCCACCTGCCCCACCCGTTCATCCTCACTGACCCCTCATGCCACCGTGCCCCGAAGCAGCAGCTGCCTCCCACCCCACCTGTGGCTGCAGCCACGCAAGCAGGAGCGCCACGAGGGAAGCAAGTTCTTCTGCTTCTCGGAAAAGCTCTCTGTCTCCCTGGCACAGGGCCCAGGGTGCTGGCAGAGACTATCCTAACGTGGCAGGCACGGGAGCCCTGGGGACGTGGATGGGGCGGGAGGCAGGAAGGGGCGACGAGGTGCGGGGCTGAGAGGGGCTGTCCAGGGGTGGGGCCTCCTAGGGGGTAGGGCGTGGGCATAGGCCAGGGTGGGGACCCGGGAGCGGAGGGGGCTGTTGGCACGGCCTGGGTAAATAATGTTGGGCCCACAGCACACATGTGTGTTTGCACAGAAGGCCTTGAAATGATTCCAGGCCTGCCCTCTGCCCCCCCCGCAGCCCCACCCCACCCTGACCTTTCCTTCCTTGTCACTTAAAGGAGCTCTTGAAAGGGAGAGTCGGAATCAAAGGGAACACCCTTCTCTCTTGCTGGCGTTGTCTCCGCCACAGGAAGTGGCACAGCTGCCGTGTTAAAGTTGGGACTGTCGGGCACTGCACAAGAGAGGGGACGAGACAGAGCTGGAATTCCACTCGGGCCCCCTTCACCAAACTCTGCTCTCCAGAGAGAAAGATCGCTGTTTTCTGAGATATGTGAAGGTGTGGAATGGGCTAGCTGCAGGCCTAGAGAATCCAGAAGGGTCTTCCCAGCTGGGTTCTTTCCCTGTGCCCCCTCCCTGCCGCGGCACACCGAGGCTAACCGGGCAGCCAGGTCAGTCCCACGGGGGGAGCCTCGATGGGCCGGGGAGCCCCCCACTGTCCCGGTGTGGCACAGTACATGTCACCAGTAGAGTCTACCGGTCCTTTGATTAATGCCTCTCCCTCTCACTGGCCCGATGCCTTTCAAGCGGCAGTTCTCAAATGTGAGCTTGTGTCAGAATCACCCAAAAGCGGGGCGCCTGCGTGGCTCAGTCGGTTGGGCGGCCGACTTCGGCTCAGGTCATGATCTCGCGGTCCGTGGGTTCGAGTCCTGCATCGGGCTCTGTGCTGACAGCTCGGAGCCCGGAGCCTGTTTCAGATTCTGTGTCTCCCTCTCTCTGACCCTCCCCCGTTCATGCTCTGTCTCTGTCTCAAAAATAAATAAACGTTAAAAAAAATTTTAAAAAAAGAAAAAAAAAAATCACCCAAAAGCTGAAACACACTGCCGGGCTTTCCCGGGGCTTCTGACTCGGTCGCTCCGCGGTCGGCCTGAGAATCTGCATTTTTTGCCACGTTCCCAGGTGGCGCCGATGCTGCTGGCCCAGGCACCACGTCGTGAGGAACACGTGGGCCCACGTGAACTTGCCCTTAACGGGTTCGTCTGCTCCTTTCCTTCCTGCTGACTTTCATTAGGAGCGTGTACTTGTTGATAATCTTCCACCTCTGTCCTGAGTCGTGCTGGAGTCCCGGGCCCACAAATCACAGAAATAGCCCAGAAACCCTGGGGTTTTGGTACCTGTACATCTCCTGAGGCCCCTGCCTCACCCGATCCGCCTACTCCAATAGGGGGTGCAGAGAAAAAGGGCCCTCGGCAAAGCAGGGCCTGAATGACCGCTGTGGAAAGAGGCCTCCAGCTCCTGTTTTGAGGCCAAGTGGTAGCCCCCTGGGGGGCCTCGGGGCGGCAGGAAGAGTGGGTGTCTGAGTTTCTGGGGGCCTCCGTCGTTCCCCAGAGCATGCTCCTCCTCCCCTCTCTCCCCCTCCCCACACCCTTCCCCTGCAGGTGGGCACGGCCTCCTCAGGGCACACTCCTCCAGGGCGAGGGGAAAGGAGAGGGCCCTGGGAGCTGGGAGGGGCAGGGGGCAGTACCTTTGGGGAGGAAGAGGGGGGTAGGTACAAGGAACCCGGTCCTGAGCCAGTGTGGCGCCACTCAGTGACTGCCTCAGCACTGTCAATTTGTTCACATCCCCCAAATGGTGGTGGAGGGGAAGAGGGCCCGCCTCCCTGACTTGTGAGTGGCGTCTACCCTGCCACTCCCCTCACCTGCTCCTCGCCCCTTCAACCGCCAGGTGAAGGTGATGGTGACCTTCTCCCTTCCCCACCGTCTTTAGGAGAAGAATAAAAGAAAACAAGCTTTGCTCCAGAAAGAGAGATTTGGGTTAGCTCTCAAAAGGCACTTCCTCCACAGGACAGTGGACGGGGGATCTGGGCATGGGCTGGCCTGGGGCCAGAGGCCCGGACACTAAAGCTTACTTGTCCAGGCCTCGGTGTGCTCATCTACCAAATGGGGCTACTCATGCCTTCCGTTGTGAGGCTTGAATGAGGCCGAGGACCTCAGAAGGGTGTGGTAAGCACACCACGTGGGTTAAGATTTGCTGCTTTCAGCCAACCTGGCTTTCTTGGGGAAAGCTGTTTACACCTCACTTTCTTTCCCAGCCAGGAGCCTATCTGCCCAGCCCTGTCCTAACTGCCCAATGACCCGGAAGCCCCAACTCTCTCCCTGGCCCAGTGGGCCCCTCATCCCCATAACCAGCTTAGTGGCCCCCACGGGGATGGGGAAGCAGCCAGACCCTGATTGGCCTTCCTCTCTTATTTCTGCAGACACAGCCAGCAGCCCAAGCAACGGCGGCATGGGCAGCGCCAGCCCGGGCCTGAGCAGCGTGGCCCCCGGCCGCCTCCTGCTGCCCCCCGACGCTGTGTTGCGCACAGGCGTGGAAAAGGCGGCCGCGGGGGCGGTGGGGCCCGAGAGACGGGACTGGAGCCCCAGCCCGCCTGCCACGCCTGACCAGGGCCTGTCTGCCTTCTACCTCTCCTACTTTGACATGCTGTACCCTGAGGATGGCAACTGGGCCACCAAGGGCCCCGGGGCCAGCTCTCGGGAGGAGCCACCTGAGGAGCCCGAGCAGTGCCCTGTCATCGACAGCCAAGCCCCCGGGGGCAGCCTGGACTTGGCACCGGGGAGTCTGACCCTGGAGGAGCACTCGCTGGAGCAGGTGCAGTCCATGGTGGTGGGCGAGGTGCTTAAGGACATTGAGACAGCCTGTAAGCTGCTCAACATCACTGCAGGTGAGCCTTTCCGCACGTCCCCCTCCGTAAGGCGGGCCGCAAGCAGGGCTGAGGTCGCTGGGGGTGTGGGGGGCCGCGCAAGGTGCACTCTGGCCACCCCCCGGCCCGGCCTCAGCAACACCAGGCATGCTGGGGATTCTGCACATACAGTCAGCCCACGGCACACAGCAGCTGGGAGCCTGGGAAGGTTCCTACCCTCTCTGCCCCAACTGCTGGAGGCAATGCAATCAAGCTCTACACCATCTGACCCTCTACCCACCCCCCCAGAGGCGTCTCCACGCTCGCCTCATTTACTCTGCTCCAGCCACACCTGTTTTTTGCTGTGCCCACGACCCTCACGCCTCAGGACCTTTGCATCTCCTGGTCTCTCAATCCAAAACGTTCTTCCCCCAAAGAGTTCCTCGGTTCACCCCGTGCCTCCTTCAGATCTTGACTCAAATGGCACTGTCTTGATGAGGCTTTCCCTGCCCACACCGCCAACTCTTACTCCTCCTACCTGCTTTATTTCTCTCATTGCATGGACGGTCCGATGCCCTACATATTTTATTTATCCATTTTATTTGCTCTCTGTCTCCCCCACTGGAATGTACACACCCCAAGGGCAGGGATTTTCATTTGTCTGGTTCCCTGCTACATCCCCAGTTTCTAGGATGGCGCCTCGCATATAATAGATGTTCAATAAACAGTAACTTCTGAATATGGCAGGCTGTGTTCTAGCACTGGGGAATAGAGTGGGGAACACAACACAAAAGCCCCTTTATCCATTGAGCGGACATTACAGTGAGGGAAACGGATCGTAGATAACTAGATAAATGTGTGTCACTGGTCCGGTGGTGATGAGGGCTCTGATGAGGAGGGGGCATTAGGAGTCCAGGCACACGTGTGTGCCTGGAAGGTGCAGTTGTGGGGCTGATGCTGTGAGTTGAGGGGCTGCGGGGTCTCCAGCCTCCTGTTCCCACATCGTCTCTCCAGCTTTGGGCAGGCCTGACCCATCTCCTGGGTCCCCGGATCCCGGCATTTGAGCATCCCACTCTCGTGCTGCTGTCACACAAAAAGTCTTCAGGCGTCCCTCAGGCCCAGCCCCTCCTCCTCAGAGTCCTCCAGGCCCGGCCCCCGCCCCCAACCATCCCTGCAGGTGCCCCATGCCCGTCCTGCCCCTGGAGGTTTCCCCGTTCTGCCTCCTCTCCCACACCGGGCTGGGGAGGGGCCTACCCTCTGAACAATGGAGACAGAAACAAATTGCTTTGACCCTGGGAAGGAAAATGGGTTTATGAAGTGGGGGCAGCCCAGCCTGCAGGTCATCCAGCTAGGGCACCAGCTTAGGCCACAGTGTTCACTTGGAGGCCCCATTGTGACTGTGCCACCAGCCCAGCCTCCACCCACAGGCCCTGCCAGGCTCACCCCAGAGCAGCTCCCCGGGGAACCTAGCCAGTGACTCTCTTCCTAGCCTCTGCGGCCTGGAGAGCCGCATCATGACCGCCCGGTGCCCTGCCATTTATTCACTCAGTGCTCGTGCACTGAGCGGCTAGTACGTACCCGGCCCTTTGTTAGCTGTTGGACAAGAGGCTACAACTCTCTGTGCCTCAGTTTCCTCATCTGTAAAATACGGTGGAGATTAGGATTCGGGTTGCAGGACTAATTCCTGGTTGGGTTATTTTCCCTGGTTCCTTGAAGGGTTTGGGGAAGGCAAGAGGCAGCTGAGAGAGAAGCTCAGGTGTCTCTGGTTTAATGTCACCGCCCCCTCCGGGGAGGGGGCTTCCTGAAAGGCCTTCTGAAGGGACTGGAGGGGTCGGGGGGACCCGAGGTCTGGGTGAGGTGGGGGGTGCAGAGGCCCCAGGCTACCCTGCCCTGAGCCAAGTTGGTTTTTAGGACCCCGGCTCCTCTGCCTCACTCCCCTCTCTTCTTGGGTGCCCCCTCCACAGGGCCCCTCAAGGCCCTCTCTGGCCTGGCCTGTTCTCACCCCAGGAGCACACAATCCGGGCCACAAGCTTCCAGTTCCCACGGGCGCCCCACCAGAGCAGAGCCGGCCACATTCGGGGCGGTGGCCTCAAGTAGCCCGTGGAACTGAGGGAGTGTCTCTTGTCCAGACCCCGTGGACTGGAGCCCTGGCAACGTGCAGAAGTGGCTCCTGTGGACAGAGCACCAGTACCGGCTGCCCCCCGTGGGCAAGGCCTTCCAGGAGCTGGGGGGCAAGGAGCTGTGCGCCATGTCGGAGGAGCAGTTCCGCCAGCGCTCACCTCTGGGTGGGGACGTGCTGCACGCCCACCTGGACATCTGGAAATCAGGTGGGACGCGGCATGGGTGAGAGAGGCGCCTCCCGAGCTCCGAGCCAGGGACCCTGAGGGGGGCGCTAGGCTGGGACTCCTGCCAGGGTCGCTCTCTGCTGGGGAAGCAGCTGGTCGGTCCCAGTCCGAACTCTGTTCTAAATCTCAGCCCCACTTGCTGCTGCCTCCCCAGATCCTGGGCCGACTCACCAGCCCTGACCCACTCCCAGCCCTGGGCAAACCCACAGCGCTTAGGGCCAGAGCGTGTGGGAAGTTAAAAGGTAGGAGTCGGACTGTGAGAGCGCGGACGGCATAGCTGATGGGGACCGTGGGGACCACGAAGTCCTCCTTTGTCCTTTTGAAATTGTGTTTGTCTGTTCTGTGTTGTCTTCCATTAAAGGAGTAATGAGGTAATCAGTGTGCATGAGTTCTCAAAAGACCATAATGGAAATAGTACCGTGAAAAGGAATTTCCCCCCTCGCTCCTGACCCCCTGCCTTCCAGTCCCCCTGCCTAGAGGCAACCACCGTTACTGGTTTCTTGGGTACGTGCTGGAGAGAGTCTATGCACACAACGAGCAAACATACACGTGTGGTTTTCACCCTTTTGTAACATGGATCGTGCCAGAGTATCACACTGTTCCACTCTTGGTTTATCTTGGACCTGGCTCCCCAACAGCATCTCTACAGCTGCCCTATTTCTAATGGCTGCGTGCCAACCCCTTAATGCTTAAATCACCTCGCATCCCACTGCGTGCCCTGCACGGAGCTGCATGCTTTGGGGGAGGCAGTGCTTGCCTCACGAGTCGAGGCCCCTGCCCTTCGGGGTCTGGGATCAATAAAGGCATGGGACCCACTCATATGTATGACCAGTAGAGACCGGTGTCCTGCCCCCGCCCAGTAGCTGGCAAGTGCCTGGCTAGGGAGCCAGGTGGTGATGGGGGCAGAAGCTGGCTGCCCCCATCCACGCCGCTTGGCCTCAGTCCCACCCGAACACCCTCTTCTGCCCTCTGGGTCTGCCCTGGGTCTCAACCTTCTCTCCTTGCCCCGCAGCGGCCTGGATGAAAGAGAGGACTTCTCCTGGGGCGATCCACTACTGCGGTGAGCCAGGGCCAGCAGGGAGGGGCCAGGGCTCTGGGGTGCAGGGTCGAGGGGTGGGGCCCCACTCACCGCCCCCCTCCCTGGCTGCCCAGCTTCCACCAGCGAGGACAGCTGGACCGACAGCGAGGTGGACTCCTCCTGCTCCGGGCAGCCCATCCACCTGTGGCAGTTCCTCAAGGAGCTGCTGCTCAAGCCCCACAGCTACGGCCGCTTCATCCGGTGGCTCAACAAGGAGAAGGGTGAGCCGGGCTCCCCACGCGAGCCGCGAGGGGATCGGGCCTCACTGACGCTGGCGGGAGCCTGCTGGCCTCCTGCCAGGTGCCAGGCACAGGGACGGCTGGGGGCTGGGCGGGGGGTGGGGGGGAGGAGCCGTCCCCCACTTTTGCCCCGAATGCCGGACACGCTGCGTCACTGGAGCGTCAGGATCTGCGTGCAGCTTGTGTCTCCTGACCAAGCTCTGTCCTATACAGGACCCCCAGCTCCACACGGGGCCGGGGACATGCTAGGGACTTAATACTCTGCCGAGAACTGGACACAGTCTTCCCCTTCAAAACATCATAGCTTCCCCCCATTTTTGGGGGGCCTGGGTGGCTCAGTCGGTTAAGCGTCCGACTGCGGCTCAGGTCATGATCTCATGGTCTGTGAGTTCGAGCCCCGCGTCGGGTTCTGTGCTGACAGCTCAGAGCCTGGAGCCTGCTTCTGATTCTGTGTCTCCCTCTCTCTCTGACCCTCCCCCGTTCACGCTCTGTCTCTCTCTGTCTCAAAAATAAATAAACATTAAAAAAAAAATTAAAAAAAAAATCATAGCTGCCTCAGGGAGACTGATGTGCCCGGTGAGAAATACCATGTGGGCCTCATAGGCAGTATTAGATTTCCAAGAGGCCACATAAAAAAAAAAAAGGTAACAGGTGAACTTTTCTTTTAAAGTTTATTTACTGTGAGAGAGACAGAGAGAGTGCAAGTAGGGGAGGGGCAGAGAGAGAGAGAGAGAGAGAGAGAGAGAGAGAGAGAGAGAGAATCTCAAGCAGGCTCCATGCTGTCAGCACAGAACCCACATGGGGCTCGAACTCATGAAACCGTGAGATCGTGACCTGAGCCCAAATCAAGAGTCAGATGCTTAACCAACTGAGTCACTCAGGTGCCCCTTAACAGGTGAATTTAATTTTAATAAGCTTTTATTTAATCTAATATTACAGATTATTAAAATTTCAACACATAATCAATATAAAAATTACTAATGAGACATTTTTACTAAGTCTTCAAACACTGGTGAGTATTTTACACTTATAGTACATCTCAATTCGGACTAGCCACATTTCAAGTATTCAAGGGCCACATATGGCTAGTGGCTACCTCACTGGACAGTGCAGGACTAGATGGTGTGTGTGTGTGTGTGTGTGTGTGTGTGTGTGTGTGTGTGTGTGTGTTGGAAAAGACTCAGAGCCAAGAAACCTGCGTTCTAGGCCCTATCCTGTCATTAGTAGCTATGGGTATTGGGACCTCAGTCTTCTTATATGTAAAATGGACAGGATTCATTCCTCCAACAAACCTTCACTGAGTACATCCTCTGGTTCCACACCAGCCCAGCCAACATTTACAGAGAATAAGTGTCCCTTTGGTGCAGGGCAGATTCAGCTGCACCCCGTCCTCGAGGGACCTGCAGGTTATAGGAGAACCAGCAGTGAAATGAGCTGGGGTACAGAGCGTGCCGGGGCTGCGACAGGGCGGTGGGGGCAGCTGTGCCTTGTTCAGGAGGACTTCCCGGGAGTGGTGACTTGGGCTGAGTGTGAAGGACAAATAGGGGCTAGAGGGCGTGGAGAGAAGTTCCTGCACAAGGCACGGTAACCCTCGTGTCTATTTGAGACTTAATGCGAGCCCGGTCCTCAGGAAGACGGTTCCATGATAGACTTCTAGGGAGAGGAGATCAGGGAGGGCAAAGTGGTCTGGGAAGGCGCCCTGGAAGGAGTGTGCTGGCTTGGGTTTTGCCAGGAGGGTTTAGAATGAGAACTGGGATTGTTAACAATGTAATAGTTCCTCCCGAGGGAAACTTCTGTCAGACTCCGCTGTAAGCACTTTCTGTCGCCACTCAACAAACAGTAGTCATTACAACCCCCTCCACCCTCACAATAAAGGGGCCTCAAACAGCTTCTCGAGGTAGAATATGGCAGAGACGGGCTTCAAACCTAAGGCAGCCTGTCTCCAAATCCACTCTTTTCCCTACCTGCTCTGAATTAATCCTACCAGAAAGGGCCGTGTTGGCTTCGGCTGAGGATGGCAAAGAGGTCTTTCAGGCTTGGGAGCTGCTGGTCAAGGTGGTGGGGGCGGGGGCGGAAGTGGGGATGACCTTGACAAATGAGCTGTAGGCACAGCTCAGAGCCCCACGGGGCTTCTGCGCAGGGTGTGCAAACCGCACAGTAGGAGCAGAGGCTGGCAGGGGCCAGGCCCTCGGGGCCCCAAATAACCCGCTAAAGTACGCACGCTCACCCTGCACTCAGCAGGTTTGTGACCCCACAGTATCATTTATCACTTACTGGGGCACAAATTTCCTTAACCCTTGCTGCCACCTTGGGAGTAAATAGTATGCCCCCCCACGCCCCCAGCCTGGCCCTCACCCCCCACCGCCGACACTGACCTGCTGGTTTTGGTCTTTCTCCCTCCTGGCACACCCCCGCCTTGCACCGCTGGCTCTCTCTGGGCCCACCTGCTCCCCCAGGCATCTTCAAAATTGAGGACTCCGCTCAGGTGGCCCGGCTGTGGGGCATCCGCAAGAACCGGCCGGCCATGAACTACGACAAGCTGAGCCGTTCTATCCGCCAGTATTACAAGAAGGGCATCATCCGGAAGCCAGACATCTCCCAACGCCTCGTCTACCAGTTCGTGCACCCCATCTGAGGGCTGCAGGCCAGGCCCTAGGCCTGAAACTCGCCCTCGCCAGACCTCCCTCCTGCCCACCCCTGCCTCTGCCGGACCCTGAGCTGAGGGAGACTGCAATCTCCTGGCGTCGGAGTCTAAGGTCCTGGAGGGGACGGCCCTCTGCTTCCAGGGGCGTAAATGAGCTCTCCGGGGTCTGGGGAACCCCAGGGTGGGAGCGCTTCCTCCTCGGGCCTGACTGCTCACATGCCCAGTTCCCTGGAAGATGGAAGGAGACAGGGCTGTCCTCAGTGTTCATGGCTCCCCGGGGAAGGCCATCCCTCCACCCCAGCCTCTGACCCCAGAATTTCCAGAGCAGAGCCGACAGAATGACAGTGACTTAGCCAAGGCCACTAGCAGTCCAGTGCTCCCTGCTGCCCCATCCTGCACCATGCTTGGCATGGTGCTAGGAGACGTCTGTGCCCTCGAGTCGGGAAGCCTGGGGTGCTCCTGGGAACGGATAATAAAGATACTAGAGAACTACCGTGGCCCCAGTGTCTGTGCAGCGAGTGAGTGGCACAGCCCCGAGGCCACCACTGCTCAAAGTGGTTGTCACAGTGGCCTTGGGGTGGTCACAGGGGGCTTCCTGGGGGAGGTGGCATTGAGCGGAGTCTAAACGGAAAAGGGTAATTAATTGGTAGAGGCCATGGGAGAGAGGCAGTGAGCCTTCAAGGCCTGGGAGGCTCATCTCCTCCCACCCACATGGGGGCCCATAGGAAGGAGCAGGGCTGGGGCTGAAAAGGGTCTACCTACTTAGGCAGGGGGAGATGGTGGCATCCTCCACGGCCTCTTGCTGTGCTGTAGATCGGGGGCTTTCTGCCTTAAGTGGCCAGGGTGCTAACCCTCTTTCGAGGGGCCCCTGAGCCCTGGTCTCTGCTTGGCCAACCAGAATGGCTCTGGGATGGGGCAGCAGGGGTGAGGAGAGAGTGGGCACTTTAGCCCCCACTATGAGACCCTGGCTCGACAGCAAACGGGTGGAAGAGAGGTTGACTTGTTTGTGGTGTCTCTCTTGGAGGGTCCCGGACCTCTGCCATGCCCTCTGCCGAACACCCCAGGGATGGGGATAGGTAGGGCTCAGAAGGTCTGTATGTGTGCTGAGCGGGGTAGAGGGGGACCTACCACCCACTCTCCTGGGGGCATCAACTGTCTCAGCTTCCTCACATTTGCTCAAATGTGACCTAAGGGCCGACTGCATGCTAGGTATTTCTACTGCTTTTTTGTCATGAACCCTCCCAACAAAACTGTGAGGTAGGCGTGACTCCCCTATTCTGTGGACCATGAAACTAAGGCTCAGAGCAGTTAAGCAACTTACTTGGAGCCACACAGCCAGCCAGCGGCAGAACCAGGAGCTGGACCCACAAGGACAGTGTGCTCTCTGCCCCTCCACGTCTCCTGCTTTGTGGCTTGTCGGCACCTTTGGCCTCCATAACCCGTAGGTTCTGATGACAGGCTTCCAGGAGACAGGACTGGGAGCCTGTCAGTGCTGCCCAGGCCACTGGGGGTTAAATGCTGCCCTATTCTGCTGCCTTCTGCCCTCAGCAATTTTATTGTCTCCAGAAGAAAGTTTACTTCTGCCAGTGAGCAAACACCACCTTGGCATCTGTCAGTTGGGACTGGACTGGCAGGAGGAGGGGGCCCTGCCCCAGGCCTGTGCCTCGGCCGTCTGCCTCCTCCCAGGGAGGGGGCCGCCTGGGACCCTGGCCAGAAGTCAGCTCAGCTCTGCTGAACTGGTTTTTTCTCCAGCCTTCTTGACCTGCCCCCAGCCAAGTCCCTGGAGCCACCTGCTTGCAGGTTCCCAGCTCGACCCGAACCTGGAGCGGCTTGGGGTCTTGGGCTGGGGCTGGGAGGGAGGAAAGGAAGGGGAATTAGGGGCAAGGAGTGGGGCACAGGAGCTACTCCAGAAAGGAGAGCTGTGGGGGGCTGAGGCAGGTCCCCGCTGTGTGGGTCTGCCACAGTGCACACATCCCCTTGGCAGACACACACCCATCCGGTGACACTTTGTGTGCTGACAGCAAACTTCAGAGTCCTCTTCTTCCTCCTCCTCACACCTGTCCGGCAGAACTCCCTCCAGCCTGCTATTCCCTGACCCTGCTCCCGCGACTCTGCCTGCAGTGCTCCCCGCAGCTGCATGCAAGAACCTGCACAAAAGGCAACCTCTTGTCTTTACTTGAAGGCTCTTCTGTTTGCCTAAAACCAGGGGCTTGTCACTGGAGGTGGATCTGGGGGATAAAGGACACAAGGTGGAGAACAGATCACCCGCCACCTTGACCTTTTCTCCCTGTCCAGAGGCCAAGGGGACAGCAGCAGGGGCAGGGGAGGCGGGGGGGGGGGGGGCTGCAGTATATTTGCCTTGAATAATGGGTTTGTGTCAGGGCCCTGCCAGGCTGCCGGGCCCAGAGGGGCCTCAGAGAGACATCTGACCTGACCGGGTGAAGCCAAGGCCGGGGTGCGGGTGAGGACGTGGCGAACTGGCTGCAGAACTCCAGCCCTGGCCCAGAGGGGACCTAGCTGGGGGTGGGGAGGCTGGAGCAGAGCTTGGGCAGGGTGTGGCCCCGGCAGGGCACAGCCAAGGGTCCAGAGCCTCGGTCCTGCCCACTCCCTCGAGCGATCCTCCAGGAGGAGCCCTCCCAGGGGTCCCACACAGAAATGCCGTCAGAAGACAGGCAGGACACAGAAAAACATGGCATGACCTGGTATCACACCGCAGAGAGCCTGGGACTGTGAACAACCAGGAACCACAGGCCTCGGCAGTCACTTTTACAATTTTGATTTTAAAACACAGGGCGCCTGGGTGGCTCAGCCGGTTGAGTGTCTGACTTTGGCTCAGGTCATGATCTCACAGTTCGTGAGTTCGAGCCCCGCGTCGGGCTCCGTACTGACAGCTCGGAGCCTGGAGCCTGCTTCAGATTCTGTGTCTCCTTCTCTCTCTGCCCCTCCCCTGCTCATGCTCTGTCTCTGTCTCTCAAAAAAATAAAAATTTAAAACCTGGGGGCACCTGGGTGGCTCAGTCAGTTAAGCATCCGGCTCTTGATTTCCGCTCAGGTCACAATCTCATGGTTCGTGGCACTGGGCCCCATGACTCTGATAGCACAGAGTCTGCTTGGAATTCTCTCCCCGTCTGTCTCCCTCCCCTATTCATGCGTGCTCTCTCAAAATAAAAAGCATAAAAAAAAATCCAAACCTATTTAGAGGTCAAACCTTGAACTTGAGTTTGGGACCCCCAAGTATCCCAATGCTCTTGGTCAGTGCTCATCACCAGGCACCCAGAACAGTAGGGTCACACCATCTGTCACCCTCCCTGTGCAGCAGGACCCGGGGCCCCAGAAGGTTAAGAGACCAGCCGCCAGCCCACTGGTTGGTCAGCCAGGACAGCACGCAGCATGCTGGGCACCATCCCCCCTGACAGACACCCCTGCCACAGAGAACTCTCAGCTCGAGAGACACACAAGACTCAAGAGGACCACATCCAGCCAGGTTGACACAGTTCCGGATTTTATCCACAGTCGTACAATCACAACTGATATATATATATTTGTATTTATATACCTTTAAATTACACAATCATGTACAAAACAGGTGCATTGCTGAGACCACAGCACTTCTCGGAGTTTCACAAGTGTCGGACTAATGGAGTCAGGAAGCCTAGGGCAGCAGATGGCGGGCGGCAGGGCAGCCCTGGTCCCTTGCAGAGCCGGGCTGCAGAACGGTGGTTAACTGGGGACAAAACACATTAGTCGCCGAGCCCCACAGGGCGGGCCCGTGCAGCATTGAGGGTGTGGGTAGGGGGCTACAGGAGGTGGTGGGCGCGGCGGGGGCGCGGCGGGGGCGCGGCCCCCACGCTCGGTGGTGAGTGCCCTGACACCAGCACTGACAGGCGGGGCCAGGCCCCTAGAGCTTGGGGGAGAAGGGGGGGACCGCCAGGTAGGAGACCCTGCGTCTCCGGGGTCCTGAGGAGCCTGGGGACCGAGGGAGACTGGTCCCAAACTGGGCCGTGGAGGTGGTTGCTCAGAAAGGATGGGATTTCAAGTCCCTGCCCCAGGGGTGGGCAGCTGGAGTGCTGAAGGGGACAGGTCTGGGGTCCAGCCAGGACCACAGACCCTCCCCAGGTGCTAGAAAGCCACTGGCACAGAGAGGGGGAGCCCAGGCCCCAAGGCGCAGATGTGCCAGTTTGCTGCCTTCCAAGGGTGGTGAGGGGCAGAGGCCTCAACCCCAACTCCCCCACCTGGAGGAGAGACCCAAGAGGGTTTTGTTCTGGAACTGGGAGGGCGGAGGGCTTCCAAAATCTTGCTTCAGGCTCCGAGGGGGCCTAGGGCACATCTCAGGCTGCGGCGGATGCCCAGAGAGCAGACAGTGACAGGAAATGGGGTGCTGGGGGTGGGGAGTCTGCCTGTCCCTGGGGGTGCCATCATTCCCCCCCTCCAACTCCCCTGGCCCAGTTCAGGCCCCTGCCAGAGTCTCCCAGGATCTCTGCACTGTGAACAAGGGTCAGGGCCTGGAGGATGGGGTCCATGGCCTAATAGTAGACTGTCGGGGGAAGGAGCAGGGAGCAAAAGAGGACTGAGGGGTGCCAGAGGGCTGGGTATCCCACTGTCTTTACCTGGAGGCCGGGAGGGAGGACGGCGGGGGCGGGGGGGAGGGGGGCAGGTGCTGTGGAAGGGGGTGGGTGTCTGCAGCGCTGAGGCCCAGAAGCAGGGCTCTGCCGGCGCTACCGGAAGTCCCAAGGCCTCACCCTTGAGGCTCCCGAGATATCCTTCTTCTAGCCATGTCCTCCCACCTCGAGGTTTTGTCCTGCCCTGGTCTGTTTCTCTGAGCCTCCCAGGGGCCCCCACATATGGGAGAGGCTGGTACCTGGTACTAGTATTTAGTAACCCAACACAGCTTTCCTTCACCAAACACAGGAAACACTCCAGCTCTGGGCAAACCTTTTGCCTCCCCCCATCCCCAAATGTCCTTTAACTGCTACCCAGGCTTAGACATAAGGAGGG